GCTATTCTTGAGAACAAAATTTTTTAAAGTTTTTCCTATGCATACCTTTGTAAAAAATGTGTTCCTCAATTGCGGCTCTACCCTACCCCCCATGGGTCACCATTTGAACAAACTTGAAACCACACTATGTAAAGAAGATTTCTTATAAGTTTCAATTTTTATGGTCCAGTGGTTCTTGAGGAGAAGATTTTTAAAACATGCCACAAAATTTTTCATTATTTCTTATTTATCTCCCCTTAGATGAGGACATGGCCCTTAATTTGAACAAACTCACATTCCCTTCACCCAAGGATGAAATTGGCCAAGTGGTTCTGGAGAAGAAATTGAAAGACAGACAGCTAGACCACAGACAAAATGTGATCAGAAAAGGCTCACTTTAGCTTTCAGCTCAGGGTGAACTAAAAATGAATCTACACTACCAGAGATTGCTTCCAGCTGCACTGTTCTTACGTAGAGGAGTTTTACAGTTTTTCTCAATATAATCCTATGTCATTATTTGATTCCCTATTGGGACCCATCCTACCCCAAGGGGCCATGATCTGCACAATAGAGAATGTACATTACCTCGGGAAGCTTCCACATAAGTTTCACCTTTTCTGGCGAACTAGTGGTTCTAATCATTAAATGAGAAAAAGATCTTTAATGGATTTTCCTTTTAAATATTACAATGTAAAACTTTGATTCCCTATTGTAGCCCCACCATTCCCCAAGGACCATGATTTGAAATTTTTAGAATCTACCCTATTGAAAATCACTTTCTTATTTGCGACGACTTTTTTAGCATATTTAAGAGAGTCTGTGTGCTCATGAAAATTTTATCCTCACTTCTATTTATATTGTTAAGATACTATACAAAAATAAATGCAGCTAGCTCAAATTCTGTCTTGCTAATAAATGACAAAAATAAGGTGTCATGAAAATAAAATGATCTTTAGTATTCTAGCCCCACCCTACCCTCAGGGGTCATGATTTAGATAATTTTTTAATGACCCCACCCTATTTTTGCCTTTTCTTGATTATCTTCCCTTGATAGGGTTCTTGGCCCTTCATTTGGACAATTTAGAATCCCCTTTAGCCAAGAATGCTTTGTGCTTACTTTGGTTACAATTGGCCCAGTGGTTCTTGAGAAAAAGTCGAAATGTGAAAAGTATACAGACAGACAGACAGACGTAGGGACAGATGCCAGACAATGGGTGATCAGAATGGTTCACCTGAGCATAACATTTAAATAAATGCAATTACATATAAGTTTTTCCTGAATGAAAATAAAGATATTTGTATGTTCAATAATATATTTTCCAAATTTGGACATCTCTCATAGATTTTCCAAAATATATGAAAAAAAAAAACCCATTTACATACTAGTTGAACTTCGGTATCTTGAACACGGATATCTCGAATGCCATGGATATGTTGAAGTGATTTTGAAGTCTAAACTGCTTTTTCCTTAAGTATTTTACCCTGGATATCTCAAATCCTCGGTTATCTCAAAGTATTTTCTCGGTCCCTTCGAGTTTGAGATAACGAGGTTTGACTGTATGTGAAAATTGACATACAGGAATCTACAGCTGGGGTGTATGGCATCAATAATATCGTATTTATAACTTGGAATTTTTAATTTTTTAAAGAAATAAAAAAAATTGTTTTATATATTTTAAAAGAGTTCGTTAAATTAAATAAATGCGTAAAGTTGGAAGACGTCAATGTCCTTCAGAGATTAACGTGAGTATAGCATCTCCCTAAAGAATTTTTCTATTGTAGTTTTCACAAAGTAAAACCCAAGTTGGCTCTTTTAAATAAGTTTTAGTAACAAAAAGGTCTTCTTTCAGAATAATACACCAAACATTTGTAATACCTCAAATTAAGGATACATTGTAATTCTTGATTCAGAAGATAATATAAGGTTTGATTTCACATTCTTCTTAGTGTTCAAGGTCTTATACATGTATGCTATTTTTGAAACCTACATAGGCAAAAATATTTTTTCTCGTGACATTATATTAAATCAGAGCATTATAAGCTCAAAGGAGATCATTTAAATGATATATATGTAGATGGAATTTTACATATTCAATTCATAAAGTTGATTTCCTAAATCAGTCAAATATTCATCCTATATTGTACAATCCAATGCGCCAAATAAGTTATATATTGGCAAAGACTTGAAAGTTTGGAAGAAAATGAGAGAATTTCCTTAACTCAGAAATGCATATAAACATTCTAAGAAACTATATGCTAATAATAGATCCTCTTGGTGCATGTCACTACACATTATTCTAGATAATATACCAGAACTGAAGGGATGTTTAAATAACAGGAAAAAAGTTAGTTAATATATACATTTCATAAACTTCTGAAGAAAACTTACATAAAATTATGGCATGACAATTTGGGCAAATATATGGATAGTAAACTATGGACTTATGTCAAAATTAAAGATCAATTTGGTTTCAAAAATTATCCTAACATCATTAAGAATTTTGAGATGAGGAGATGCCTGAGTATAAATTTAGAATATCATCACATATCATTTACAAATTGAAGATGGAAGGTTCCAGGGTGTCCCAGCACACATGCGATTATGTTCAAAATGTGATTTGAACAAGGTGGAGGATAAAATACATTTTCTCTTCAAATGCTCTTAATTTAACGATGAACACGAAATTTTCTTAAAATCTGTCTCAGAATTATGTACCAATTTCCCTAATCTTGATTGTAATGAGAAGCTTAATATATGGCTATTTTCAAACGGAAATGAGTCAATCTTAAGGTAGTATGGGATACCTCCACGTTATGACATTTTTCTGTTTGAAGTATTGTTTTGATTTGCATGAGTGCTTATTATCGGGTCAAAATTTGCATTGTGCTGAATTATGACCAATCAATTATCACGTTATCCAGAGCTGTTCTTATTTGTTATTTAATTCAAAAAGTAACTGTTTGGTCACAAAGAGCTATAGCTGTTGTATACATTCCCAAAACGTTTAGATGAATGCAATTGCTCTGAACGAGACATGTCTTGGAAAGCGATTTTCCATATACTGTTTTCAAAACATTTCAAAGCTGAAAACTACCACTGCAACAAAGTGCGATTTTTTTTTTTTTAAGTTTGGGAAAAAATGCTCATCATTTCTGAAATAGCACCCAGGTTTTTTCAACCCTTGGAAAATAAAGAAGGATAACTCTTCCGTTCAGATCTTTTAATTCTAAAATTTTTTAATGCATCCTATATTTTCCATTTATATATATTTTTTCAATTTATCTATTTCACTTTGCTAACGTATGAAGATACATTCTAATTGTAGACTTTCATGAAATGTTAACATTAGAGACTATTTTATAAATGAGATCTGGATAAAAAAAAATAAGGTCCTATTAGGGGACTATTATACCTACTTTTCTAGTAGGGACTTTTTAATATTAAGCATTAACCAAATAATAAGCCATACTCGGTAAAAAGGTTACAATAGGAGATCAAAGGGTTAATTAGACATATATAGGACAAAAAATCTCTATGCATCTCTTCTCATCAAAAACAGCAAAGCCATATGATATATAGTATATATTATTCATTTTTATACAAGCATCCCCAAATAGTGAAGACTAAATTATTTTTTTAAACCCCCCACAAACGAACTTTAGGGGGGTATATTGGAATCACCATGTCTGTCTGTCCTTCCATCTGTCGGTAGACGAGATTTTGTCCGGACCTGTTCTCAGAGACTATATTGCATGGATATGTCTGAAAATTTGTACACCTATTATTCACCATATGAAAGTGTGCACCTACTATTTTCATCATGATTGGATAATTTTTCTGCATTTTACAGGTGTTTTTTTTTTTCATTTTTATTAGGTGATTTGTCCCTTGGGAGTAATGAGTGGACATGCATCCAATTAAAGGTTAATTAATGAGTTCAATGTGGGAAGCTGTTAGAGCATCTCTGATCATGCAAGCATGTGTTATTTATATCTTCTGGGAATCGGGCAGAAGAATCAAAGATCTCTGTTCTTTAACTTTCTTAATTGTAATTTATGTGTGTCAAAATACATAGTTACTGGATGAACAACCTTTTATTTTTATAAAATGAACTTGATATTAAGTTATCAAGATTTATTTGATTTTTTTTATAATTACCCATGTCAAAGTGGAAGGCAGTTTGTTGGCAGTTATTAATGTAATGTTTAAGTGCGAACGTTAAGATAAACAGAACCGTGCAGTTTGTTTATGTTCCTGATGGCTGAACTCTTAATGCTTTGAGACGTTTATTGTTTTATCTTAAACTCCATCGCCTCACTGGTCAACTGTTTATACTTTCTCAGGATATCATATTAATTCTGCTATTTTGTATCTTTGTTTATCTCTGTAGGAGTTAGTAATAGATTTGCATCCAAAGAGAAATCATGTGTTATTCTTACTAGCAACATTACATTGGCGACGAGGATATAAATTTAACATAGTGTTTGAGCGGTTATTAATTTTGACTGAGAAATATCAAAAATGGCTACTGGATTTCCTCCATTTCCGAAGTTTGATGTCTCAGATCAAAGTTCAATAGGACAGCGTTGGAAAAAGTGGATCCAGCGATTTGAAAATTTCGTCCTTGCGATGGGAATTACCAGGAATGATCGCAAAAGGGCAATGCTCTTACACTATGGAGGAGATGAAGTGTACAACATTTTCGACACACTCGCTGATACAGGAGGGCCTAATGACTATGATGCAGCAAAAACAAAATTAACGGAGCACTTTAACCCAAAGAAGAATGTTGAATTTGAAATATATAAATTTCGACAAGCCAAACAAAACTCCAGTGAAACAATGGATTCCTATCATACAAGACTGCGACAATTAGCCGAAAACTGTGAGTTTGAGGATATAGACATGCAGAGAAATTAAGTCACAAGTCATACAAGGATGTGAGTCAAGTCGTTTGAGACGCAAAGCACTGCGTGAGCCTGACTTAACGCTCCAACAAATCCTAGATTCAGCGAGAGCCATGGAAGTCTCTCAACTCCAAGCCTCCGGTATGGAAGACCATAAGAGTCAAGACATACAACTAAATACTGCGAATAGGAGAATGAATTCTTCTAAACAAAGGAAACAAAGAGAACCAACAAATACGTGTCACAATTGTGGAAAGCAATGGCCACATAAAGATAGACCGTGCCCAGCGAAGGGCAAGGCGTGCAACAAATGCAAGAAAATCGGACATTTTGCAAAGCAGTGTAGGTCTGGCCAGAAACAGGATACCAAAAACTTCAACCGCACATCCAGAACAAGGAAACCATTGGTCAACAATCTGGATAATGACAGTAGTGATGAAGAGTACGCTTTCGGATTGTCACTCAATGCAACAAAATCCTTGCCTATCGCAGATGTCAAAATAAATGGGATTGAAGTTGGTATGCTGGTGGATTCTGGAGCAAGTGTTACTGTCATGGATGAGTCGACATTTGAAAAAGTAAGTCGCAAGAAACCAATCAAATTGTCAAAATCAAATGCCAAAGTTCATGCTTACGGAACAAAAGCAGCATTACCCATAAAAGGTAAATTTCGAGCTGAACTAGAATCTAAACTTAGGATTATCGACACTGAAATTTTTGTGGTGAAAAGTGCAAGTGGATGTTTACTAAGCTGCGCTGATGCACAAAAGCTTGGACTCATTTCGATTACAATAAATGCTGTAGACCAAGATGAAACTACGGACCAATCCAGCATATTAACGAAGTTTGCTGATCGATTTGAGGGGATAGGAAAGTTGAAAGACTTTCAAGTAAAACTTCACATTGACGAAACAGTGAAGCCTGTTGCGCAACCGCATCGAAGAATTCCGTTTCACCGACGAAAGAAATTAGAACTAGAGCTAAAGAAACTTGAAGAAATGGACATCATAGAAAAAGTTGATGGACCGACTCCTTGGGTGTCACCTATTTTAGTAGCTCCCAAACCTAAAAATCCTGACCAGGTGAGAGTTTGTATTGACATGAGAAGAGCTAACGAAGCTATACTTAGAGAACGCCATTTGATACCTACTATTGATGAACTCATCACTGATTTGAATGGAGCTAAAGTATTCTCTAAACTTGACCTAAATAAAGGCTATCACCAACTTGAATTAGCACCTGAATCGAGATACATCACATTTTCATCACATGTTGGACTGTTTCGTTACAAAAGACTGATTTTTGGAGTCAATTCGGCAGCTGAAGTTTTTCAGGCAGTGATTCAACAAACTATAGAAGGCATACATGGAACACGCAATATAAGTGATGATATTATTGTGTTTGGGAAGTCTCAGGAAGAGCACGACAAGTCGTTAAAATCGCTCTTAACTCGACTGAGGGAACGAAATCTTACACTCAACAAAGATAAGTGTGAGTTCAACAAAAGAAAGCTTGAATTCTTTGGATTTATTTTCTCTGAAAATGGAATCTCAGCTGACCCCAAGAAAGTTGAAGCTATCAAACATGCAGAAAACCCCAGGAATGCATCTGAAATGCGCAGTTTCCTTGGCATGGCTAACTACTGTGCGCGATTCATCAAGGACTTCGCCACGATTTCACAACCTCTACGTGAATTGACCAAAAAGAATCAACGATGGACTTGGGAAAAGAAACATAAAGAGGCGATGCAGAATATCAAGGAAGCATTAACAAGTAGTGCAGTTATATCTTATTTTGACCCTTCAAGGCGCACAGAAGTCATCGTCGACGCAAGCCCTGTCGGACTTGGAGCTATCCTTACGCAAATTGATGGAAATAGCACCCGAAAAGTTATTTCCTATGGAAGTAAAACACTTTCTCCAGTGGAACAACGATACTCCCAGACGGAACGTGAAGCTCTTGCAATTGTCTGGAGTTGCGAACATTTCCATCTTTATCTTCTTGGAAACACATTTGAACTTGTGACGGATCACAAGCCATTGGAATTAATATTTGGAAACCCAGCTTCAAAGCCGCCTGCCAGAATTGAGAGATGGGCGTTGAGACTACAGCCCTATGATTTCCGTATTAAGTACAAACCTGGAAAGTTCAACCCAAGTGACTATATTTCACGTCACCCAATTCTTCAAGAAAATTCTGAATCACTCTCTACTGTTGAAAGTTGCATCAATTTTGTAGTCCAGACAAATATCCCGAAATCCATGACTCTGGATGAAATTCAAAAGGCTTCTGACAACGATATTTTGATACGAGACATGCGAGAGGCAATGAAGAGTGGATCATGGGCTGTTTTCAAGAAATCAACACGACCAGACTGGCAATCTGTCTATAAACTGAAGGATGAATTAACTGTTTCGGAAACTGGGATAGTTCTCCGAAATGACAAACTGTTTGTTCCACGCTCACTCAGAAAACATGTCATAAGGTTAGCACATGAAGGACACGAAGGTATCGTGAAAACAAAGTCGTTGCTAAGGGAAAAAGTTAGGTTTCCTGGAATTGATAACCAAGTTGAGTCGACACTCAAAAGCTGTTTGCCTTGTCAAGTAACAACAGAAACAAAACATCTAGAGCCACTGAAGATGTCACCTTTACCAAGTGGACCGTGGACGGACCTATCAATGGATTTTTGTGGACCGTTTCCCTCGGGAGATTATCTCATGGTTGTTATGGATGAGTACTCGAGATATCCGATAGTGGACATTCTTAAATCTACCTCTGCAAAAGCTGTTATTCCTAAGTTAGACAAAATTTTTGCAGAATTTGGAATACCAAAAATTCTGAAGACTGACAACGGACCTCCATTTAACGGAACGGAATTTCGCCAGTATTCGGAATACCTGGGATTTTCTCACAGGAAAATTACTCCTTTATGGCCTAAAGCAAATGCAGAATCTGAAAGATTCATGAGAACAATTGAGAAAACTATCAAAGCAGCTAATGTGGAGCATAAAAGTTGGAAACAAGAAATCTTCACCTTTCTAAGGAACTACAGGGCAACACCGCATTGTACCACAAAAACATCTCCATTTGAAGCACTATTCAGCCGGAAGATCAGAACTAAGATGGGTGTAGACATTCTTAAAGAAAATAAAGGAGGAAAATGTGAAATCCACACCGAACTAAAGGAAAATGACATTAAAGCTAAGTTAAAGATGAAACAACATGCTGATCACTATTCTCGGGCAAAGGAAATAGATTTGGAAGTAGGGAACAATGTTTTGGTAAAACAGCCAAAAACAACCAAACTGTCAACCCCGTATGAACCAAACCCACTCGAAATTTTAAAAACTAAAGGTACCATGGTCACTGCAGGAAATGGTGAGAAGACAATTACAGGAAACGCATCACATTTCAAAAAGATTGAAAGTAATAAGGCAGATCAGGACGAGGAACCAGAAATTGACATTGAAATACCCGCGAAGGCAGATAACACCGCGACTGACATACCGAGCCGTCCCAAGAGAGTAATCCGCACGCCCAAAAGGCTAATGGTACACCGGCGCCTGTTATCTTTCCCTTAGGTGGCGCCACAGAAAAATGCGGTCCCCTTCGGAACTAGCTCGCGCATTATCATTACGATTTTACCATAGCACATGTAAACAAATCGCTGTCATATACACACGTGAAACATGCCGGAGACTTGCTGTTGCGTACCTGGGTGTAGTAATAGAGGTGGACACGCTTTCCCATCAGATCAAACGAGGCGAAAATCATGGATTCACGCAATTAGACGAGGAGAAACACGTTTTCAGAGCTGGGAACCTTTTGCCTATGCTGTGGTGTGCAGATCGCATTTCAAAGAAAGCGATTATTTAGCAGAGACTGTTCACGGTAAAATACTAAAAATTTCCTCATCTATTTTTTAAATGTTACATAAACTTATTATGCACAAAATAATTTATGGTAAAAAATTATAATTTTAGGTATGAAATCAACAAAATACAAGTAAAATATATGATACGTTCTGCCGAATTTCACGAATGACAATTGACATATTTTTGAGTTTTTATTGAGTTTTTTTTTTTTTTTTAGTTTTAGTGAAAAGTTTAGTCTTTCTTTATGTGTCTCATTTTTTATCAACAAAAGTAGTTAAATTATATCGTAAACAACAGCTCTTGACATCAAATGCCAAGAGTACACCCCCACTGATTTGCACTATCGGAAACATGCCATACATACGTAAACAACTGCCCTGTGTAAACATCTGGCATCGTAAATTTCTATGTTCAATGAGACCACCTGTGGTAAATGATGACTTCTTCTGCATTTGTTAATTACATTAGTCTAATCTCCTAACCTGATTATCAAACAAAGAAAAACAATGCCATAGTAATTAATTAATAGTTTGCATCTTCAGTCAAACTTATTCATATTTTTTTTTAATTTTTTTTTTACATATCCATATGTTCTTATTAATCATTAAATGTTTTACATACTGAAATGAAAAAAAACTTTGAAATATATATTTTTTCTTAGAAATATTGATGAATATCATCAATATATTTCCAGGAAATACACCTTTAAGTAAGAGGTTAAAGAGAACAGCAGTACCCAGCCTTTTCCAATGGGCAGATCCAGCAAGCCCAGCTGTACTTGCCAGGGCTGACAGAGCTAGGACAAGGGGTGTCAAAAGAAAATTAATAGAAGACATTGCATCTACCAGTCACAGTTCAGAAGAAGTGTTTTTTGATGACATTAATATTGTAGAAGAAACTATCTGTGATTACAGCAGTACTACTAATGAAAATGTCTCAAGTCAACATGATGATCAGCAAACAATTCGTCAAAATGTGGAAACACAAACGCCAACATTTCCACCAATGTGCATCGATAACTTTGAAAAGGATGATGCTGGCATTCATTTTTACACTGGTTTGGAAACTATCTCTAAATTTTATTTTGTATTAAGAACTTTAGGTCCTGCAGCATATTCTTTAAATTATGTTTATCACCAAGTCACAAATATCAGTGTTCCAGATCAATTTTTTCTTGTTCTCATCAAATTAAGGAGACACAGAACTAATTTCGAATTGTCAAGATTATTCGGCATTTCAGAAAAAACTGTATCTAATATATTCTATACCTGGATTCTATTTATGTCCAAACAGTGGAGAGAAGTTGATATATGGCCACCGAAATCCCTTGTGAAATATTTTTGTCCCTCTGATTTTAAACTAAAGTTTCCAAAAACCAGAGTTCTAGTTGATGGAACAGAATGTCCTATCAAAAAACCAAAACAACCAAAATCCCAGCAAGCTACATTCTCAACATACAAAAATAAGAACACAGTGAAAATTCTGGTTGGTGCAACCCCTGGTGGCTTAGTTTCCTATGTATCTTCTGCATATGGTGGTTCAACAAGTGACAGACAAATAGTGGAACGTAGCAGTTTGCTGAATTTATGTGATCCTGGTGACTCTATCATGGCTGATAAAGGATTCAATGTGCAAGACATGTTTGTTCACAAAAATATTCAGATAAACACACCTACATTTTTCAAAAAAAAGAACAGAATGTCATGTGCAACTGTACTTCAAGACAGAAAAATTTCGAGCAAAAGGGTGCATATTGAGCGAATTATTGGTCTTGCTAAAACCTTTAAAATTTTAACTGAACCAATGAATAGTTCAGAGACAAAGCTGTCCTCACATATAACTTTTGTCTGTTTTATGTTATGCAATTTTAAAACCTGTATTGTCCCATCTTATGCATAGCAACATGAATTGCTTTCATTATTTATATATATTGGTTTTATATTTGATGTTGTCTTAATTTCTAACTTAGTGCATTACTATAACAATTAAAATGAACACAAACTGACTGCATCTTAATCTTTTATTTTGGACAATGACAGTCATCACAAGATTTAAAATAATTTTTTTTCCAGAACAGCAGGCCTAAAATTATTTTCATAGAAAAACTTTAGTTTTCCTATCATCTCTGAAATGAAAGTATCGTTTCTTTGAATTTGGAAAAATAAAATATCATTGAATGTATGCACAATAAAGAAACAAGTTTTTTTCTCTGCACAAAAAAGTTGTCCTTGAACTTGATAATAATAGTCATGGTTTTTGTCCAATGAAAATGTACCATTGTTCTGTCTTATATAAGGGACTGTCTGTCGAGAAATCATTTCGTTCCTTGCCACATAAGGGCACTTCACTTCAACAACAGTGTCTTCATCAATGATGCCATCAGGTGAAGCAGCCAAATAGGGATTTGTTAGGCTTACACAAATTCCTGTGTCATATACTGTATGTCCAGTTATGTCCTGGAATTTTTTTATGGCAACTTTTTCAAACTTTTGTCCATGGAGAATTGGAGCTGAATGGAGTCGACGTTGTTTCGTAACAAGTGTCTCTGCTAGTTTTACTTTGTCTGTTCTATCAGTCATTTTGCAGATTCTGCCAAACACAGAAGAGTGCAGACGCTTGCATCTTTCTTCGTGCCACATATTGCATGCAGCCTGTTTTGCTGTATTTAAATTAAGAATCCGTGCCTCTTCTTCTGTTATCTTTGAAACATTTATACTCTTCAAATACTCGCAGCTACCTTGAAAAGTAAAATAGTCATGGTCCACATCAATTCCCCTCATATTTGCTGGAGGGAAAGTTTGAAATATAGGAGTCTTGCTTACTCCTGGATAAGAAAGGCATACATTCTGGAAGTATGATTTATATCCTGGATTGTTCCTATATTCTATTGGCCTCGGATCAAATCCATCAGCAAAATTACAAACTTCATCACATCCCGGCATGTCCAGGTTATTCGCTTTCATAGGGGTTCCTCTATGTGGCCTCACTCTGTGAAATGTCTGCAGCCTTTGTGTGCATGTTTGTTCCGTTTTCACAATTCCATTTGTCTTAAAGGAAAGACATGCATACAGGGCTGTGCATATATGTTTACAGTGCGCAAGTGGTCCCATTCCAGCTGCACACTCGCACTGACACTCTGCAATGTTGCCATCATTTTCCATCACAATGTCTATAGTATACACTACAGACTTTGACATCTCTGCTCTAATGGCACTCCTAACATACCATAGGGAATTGTCTGCAGTGGTACGGATGTACTTAATAAATCCATCATTGTACAAATTCCTTGCTTTTGATTCCAGATTTTTATTGAACTGTGCCAAGTATGTGGTGATGTTATCCATATTACACTCAGGAAAATTCTTGTCACTGTTCAGATCTTCATATTTTTGAGGATCAGGTAAGGCCATCACATAATCTTGAGCAGTAGTGAGGTCTGTCCTGGAGCAGTGGGCATTGCGTGTGTATGCCTCCAGCCTGTTAAAAACAAAATAAGCTGTTACTATTCATACATAATATGGGCCTAGTCGACATTTCTTCTACAAAACAAAATTAACCATTGATTTTAATACACATTTCTGAGCGCTGTATATCTGTTAATTTGCCAAAAAATTATAAAATATGGAGTATATTTTTAATTTATGCCCCGTACATAAATGACTAGGAAATTCGGGTTACATCGTGAAACCAGTTTGAAAAGTTCTGCAATACATTTTGTCCAGCAAAGGTATAGAATCGGAATTACTTAATTGTCTTTTTCATACTTCTGCGTCCTTACTTCATACTGATTGGAATAATCGCGTAAGTATTTTAAGTAAAACAGATAAGAATCATAAAATGTAAAACAATACGTACCTTTCTACAAGCTCTCTTTTTCGTCCCGATTTTTTTGCACCAAATTTTTCGAGTTCCTTTCGTAATTCAGGAATAGTCATTGAACCAAAATTAGTTGCCATTGTATACAATTTCCTCTTAAAACAATATAAAACACGTTCGCTTTCTTTGAGAATACAGATACTGATAAGATGCAGATATGCCATTATCAGCTGTTTTGTGTTGGACCGCATTTTCCTGTGGCGACCTCTCGCGGTGCAAGATAAGATAACTCACTCCGGTTCCCCATTGAAGAGATGTAAACACATACGCGTTTGTGAACATTAGTGCCCTGAACAGTGTGTTCAATAGATACTAGAAATATTAGCCGTGACTGTGCTTATATATACTTAGACTTAGACAATAAGTGTTGTGTCTGCTTATCTATTTCTTTATTTTGATTCATATTTTAATTCATTGGGATTTGTTTCTATTTCAAACAAAAGGTGGGAAGTAATGTTTAAGTGCAAACGTTAAGATAAACAGAACCGTGCAGTTTGTTTATGTTCCTGATGGCTGAACTCTTAATGCTTTGAGACGTTTATTGTTTTATCTTAAACTCCATCGCCTCACTGGTCAACTGTTTATACTTTCTCAGGATATCATATTAATTCTGCTATTTTGTATCTTTGTTTATCTCTGTAGGAGTTAGTAATAGATTTGCATCCAAAGAGAAATCATGTGTTATTCTTACTAGCAACATTACAATTAAGCCTTCCCAGTTTCATTTTATAAGCAGTTTATTAGCAGTTCCTTAGCCTTCCATGTCCCTCAGACAAGTTGATAATTATTCATGAAAATAGGCAGTTCAAGGCAGTTTTTCTTAGCCTTCC